TTGTCAAGTGCATATTACCATTATAGACATACACAGTACACTAGGATATGCACCCAAGGAACTTCATTTTAATAATTGTTTTTATGAATATTCAGTCATAAAGGATATTAATTTTATCCATCAACCAAAAAAACCCCAAATCTAACAACTTTTTTAAAAAAAATTCAACAATCAACTTTCTTTTAGAAATACAATTTTTTAAATGAAACAAAATTCCACCATTTTTTGGCTGGGCACACTGGTCATATCTTGTATTTATGACCATAATTTCGATCACAAGATTTAGAGGTACAAGGGATCTTAGAGATCCATAATTGTATAGTTGAGGAAACTAAGACCAGAGGAGTTAGGCAACCTGCTCAAGATTACTCAGGTTGTAAATAACAGAACTGGGCTTGCTGACTCCAAATCAGATTCTCTTTCAGCTAGACCACATTGTTTTTCATTTATGTTTTCACTCATTTTTGGTATGACTGAATCATTAAAAGTGTTTTTCAATTCAGTACTACTGGGCTAGGTGCTGCAGGAGACAGAGAATTTTAGAACTGGAAGGAACTTTTGATATTATCGAATTTAACTTCTCTTATTTTAGAGCTGAGGAAGCCAGTCTTACAGATATTAAATAACTTCCCCACAATCACAAAGACATTTAATTGTAAAGTGGAACTCAAACTCCTCTCTTGACTCCTGGTCTCATGTTTTTTCTGATAGTCTAATGCTCATTCCACTTTGCTGTGCTGACTATAACTGTAAACGAAATAAGCGCTTAAGCAGCTTACAATCTGTAGCTTACAATCTAGCTTGGGAGACAAAAATAGTATAGATTAGAGAACAATTAAATGTGAAACTATGTTGTATTGGGGGCAGCTACATGCCATAGTAAATAGAGGAGTGCTCAGTCTGGAGTCAAGAAGACTCATCTTCCTGAATTCAAATCTGGCCTCAGACACTTACTAGCTGTGTGATTCTGGGCAAATCACTTAACCCCTGTTTGCCTCAATCTCCTCATCTGTAAAATGGGCTGGAGAAGTAAATGTCAAACCACTCCAGTATCTTTGCTAAGAAAACCCCAAATGGAGTCACAAAGAGTCAGATATGACTGAAACAACTGAACAAAATGTTGTATTGACTATAGATTTGGAAAGTCAGGCCTTGGAGGAAGAGTAGGATTTGGAAAAACAGAAAAAGAGTCTGGTAAAAAGTGTTCACCTCAGACTCAAAAGACTTGAGGTTTAGATCCATGTTAACACATTTCCTAGCTGGGTTAACATAGGAAAATGATATAGTCTCTCTGACAATCAATTTCTTCATCTACAAAGTAAATAATATTTGTACAACCTCCCTTGTAGGTTAAGAGTTTTAGTGTACTATGTATATAGCCCGTGTAAGCTTTGGGGAATCTCATTCCAACTCCTACTCTCTCAGACTGCTTGGGCTTGCCAAGCTGGGCTGGCTATATATAATATCTCCCTTTCAGCATTTTAGGAAGGTACTCCTGGGAGGTTGAAGGTATCTTTTCTCTAATGTTATTAACTCAATCCCCCATTCCCCATTTCATTGTGAGTTGCCAGTCATTAACACCACAGTTTCCATTTAACAAATTAACGTCAATTGGTTTTTAAGTGACATTTATTTTGCAGATACAGCAAGAACAGAAGTACAAACATCTACTCCTTCCCATATCTTGTGGTGGGGTCACACCTTTTGTCTCTGGTGAGAGTGGACTCAGACAATGCAGTTTTTTTTTACAATAAGTTTTATTTTATTTTTTAACCTGTCAACAAGCATTTTTTATATATTTTATTTTTCCCCAATTTTAACATTTTAAAAAAAATTTTGAGTTACAATTTCTATCCCTCCCTTTCTGCTCCCTGAAACAGTAAGCAATCCGAGATAGTTTATTCATGTGTAATCATGTAAAATGATAATGCAGCTTTTTAAAATAGTGTTGGTCCCACAAAGTTTATATCTCAATGTAGCATTAATACTTGCTGTCTTGGTTTTGGCTTCTACTGGACTAGGTTCTGAAGATTGTTCCTGGCTATTCAGTCAGGGGAGCCTTGGTGTTGAACTGTCTAGAATCTAGACTTTAGATGCATCATGAACTCCATTCTAGGACCTCCTTCCTAGTGGCTCATTCTCTACATTTTTTGAAGCTCATTAGGTGGTAGCTATCTCCAGTCCCCTTAATTGAGAAGCAGGAAAAATAAATACAAAGACAAAGAGCTGAAGCCCATGCTCCCAGGTCACTTAGTCTTATATGTGCACGGACTAAGGCCTTTCCTTGAAAACAATGGCTCTCTTCTCTCACCTGAATACAGCCAGGTAGGAAAGAGTCAGACGAGAAATGACTGACTCTGGTAGACTATTGCCTATTGACGGTCCCCACCCCATTTCTGACTACACAGCCATCAAAACCTTTCTCTTCAACTTGTGGTTACCAGACTAGAACCAGTCATATTTATGTACATGCTCCAGTTTGGGAGTAAGGCATTTCCATTATGCGTCAAGTTGTTTCTCCAAAAGTAGGTTCCCCTGTTTCTTCCACATTTGGACTGCATCAGTTGTGTAGGCAAATGACTTCTCAGAAGTCCTCCATTACATTTATGTGTGAATAATTTTAGGTAGAGAAAGCAAGGTGAGCAAACACAAAGAAGTGTAACTAAGAATGGCATATTACATGAGACCTGGAGACCTTTTCCTGAAGCAAAAAGTGTTGGGAGAAATCAATCATAGATTTAGAGTTGGAAGCTACAGAACACAAAGGAGGAAAACTGTGGTACAGTTATGTTTCATCCCCAGGTCATACAGAATTACAATTTGAACCTAAGCCCTCTGACTCTAAATCTAGTAATCTATCCACTGTACCACACCAAGTAGTAGAAAATAAGATTGAATAGGTAGATTTCAGCCAGATTATAGAGGGCCCTGAAAATCAGGTAAGAGAGAATGGATTAGGGGATCTGTTATAGCAAGGGCCTTTAGATTTCAGGGAATTTAGTAAACTTCTATTGGAAAAAAATGCATCTTTATTTCAATAGAATTTGCTTTCTTTGTAATCCTAAATATTTTATTTTACATATTTAAAAACATTCTGAGAAGGTATGCAGAGGTTTCAAGTTGTCAAAGCACTCCATGACACAAAAAATGTTAAGAACCCGTGAGTTATATGTTCTTTAACAATGAAAAAAAGAAAGAATGAGTGAAAAAGCATTTATTAAGGGCTTATTTTGTTCCTGGCAAGGTGATGAAACATTGAAATACAAATATAAACAGAAAGAGTGCCTGCCCTTAAGGTGTTTACATTCTGATAAAGGAAGACAATACATATAGCCTAATGGTAGTTAGGGAAAGAGGTGTTTTGGACTGAGAAGTCAAATAGATGTTAAGTAGAGCTATAGGGCACTTGAACTTTCAAGGAAGGGTAGGGTTGATTTGATGAGTCTCAAGAGAGCATGAGTAGCAAAGGAGTGACATTAGGAAAACAATGTTTTAGGAAGATTACCCAGCCACCAATATGCAGCATTGACTTGAGTGGAAGAGGGAACAGAGAGAGGGGAACTGAAGGAAGGGAAATTAGTTAATATAACTAGCTAATTTATATATATATATATATAATATAATTAGCTAAATAACTTAGGAAACATGGTACAACTGTGGTGATGTGAGGATCTTGGCAGTGGGAATGGAGAAGGTGGAATTTAAACAAATAAATAAACAAGTAAAGGAAGAGATGTCAGGATATGAAAACTGGTTAGGTATAGGGAAAAAGAAGGAAGATTTAAAGATAATTAGCATGACAATGATGATAGTTAATATTTATACAGTACTTTAAGGTTTGAAAAGCACTTTGTGGCTCCAAAGCCATATGAAAGACTGAGAGAACTCCACTGTATTCCTCTATTCTCCTTCTAAACATACAAATTAACCTTGATGTCCCTTGGAAAGAATGAGTTTACTCAATTTAGGCTAATTTTCCTTTATAAAAGCATGCTATCATTTAAAAAAAAGATTTTTCTGAACTGATACAGATTCAAAAATAATTTCAGTCAAAATTAACTTACATTAAACTACTAATTATCTCAATTTTCCAGAACTATTCCTTCTTCAAATTTTAAAAAGTAGAAATCAAATATTACCGTGATAATCTGTTATACAAATAATTGCATTTTCTTTCAATAGACTATATATGCATATACTATATGAAGTATTTTCTTTAAACGGCTCTTTAAGTATTTATAAATTCTTGACTTAGAGAATGTCTTTTTTTGTCTAGTCATATCTGGTACTCCTGAAAGTGTAAAAAAAAAAAAAGTAACTCAGTTTCTGTTTTCAGGGGTCATAGCTTTCTCACGTAGTAGGCATAAAAGTAGCCATATAGAAAAATAAGTAGCAAATTATTACAGCAAATTAGTGACAGCATTTTACACAGTCCAAAAGACCAAATTATCTGCCAGAGAAATAATATCCCCACTGTATTTCATAAAAAGCCCGGCTTCATTTGGGAAGCCTTAAAATAAGTGGTCATATGATTAAAAAAGGAAACGATTCGTTCTAACCCCCTATTTCTGTAATGCCCCCATAGCAGGCGCGGCAGCTGTCCCGCTGCTGACATTCCCCGGCCCTGACATTCCAACTCTCTGAGGTCATGGACTGCAAGCATACGGGCTCTTCGCTCTTTTTCTCCGTATCCGTCCGCGTGGATGGAACAAGTAACGCCTCCCAGGGAACTTGCACCTTCACTACCCAGCGAGAGTCCGAGCGAATAGGAGCAAGGCGAAGTGAGCCTCGCGGTCCTAGAGCTTCGTTTCTCCCCTATAAGCGACCCCCTTCTTCGCTGCCTGGAGCTGGCTGCTTGGGAGATGATTGCCAAGTTCACCGGCCGGGGTGCCTTTGTGTAGCCCGGCTCGCGGACCCCGGCTCTCGCGCCCTCGCACGAGCCCGGCTGCCCCCGGATCGCTTGCCTGCAGGAGCTCCCTCGAGCGCTCCGTGGCCGCCCGCCCTCCTGCGAGTCCTTACCTAGTGGAATGATACACAGACCAAGTTTTCTGAGACAGGAAGTGAGGAATGTTTTCACTATGACTGAGTTGGAGGGGAACCTGGCATGCCCTTCCCGACCCACGGGACGCAATGAGACCCTTGTGAAGGAGGACCGGTGAGAGATGTCTTCCGGGGGAGAACCCGAACTGTTTGCGTTGTGTAGCTGAGGATGCGTGACCTCAGAACCTCTTCAGCTGGATCACTGCAACAGGTAGGTAAGTAAGTAAGTAATGGGCAAGAGTAGACCAAGGGAGCCACCCCGGGCTCTCTTTGTTTGATACAGTTTCATACTGTCCTTTGGAAACTAAGTACCTCTCTGTTCCAGAGAGGCAGAACGTGTAACTTAGTGGCATTTTCTCTCATGAGTAGGTTTCTTCTGTGTACAGTTTGTTAGTCCTGGAAATCATGAATGCTATCGTAGTTCTCGAAGAGATAACGTTTCACAAAGAAATTCTTCCTTTTCATGTTCCACTCCACGGACTTGTCTATTAAATTTTCTTAAGAGAACACTTTTACTTATATTTTGATTCAATTTATGCTTTTAGGATCCAATTCCAAATCAGGTGGTTAATTCTGGCTACATTTCAGTCTGCTGAAATGGTGCATACTTTTTGAGTTTGGCAGATAAAAACTTTTGGTAGCGGAGAGAGAGGAGGAGGTGTTTTTGTTTTATTTTGCTGAAGAGGAGTGTGGCTACTCTAGGGAGAGAAATTCCTAGGTCTGCTAAATTCAGGCTTGTGATTTCTGCGGATACTGATTAGATACTCTTGGCATGCTGGTCCCATTTTCTTTTTGCTGATAAAGCCTTATAATAGTGCGTGTGTCCGTGTGTGTGCACATTTTAAAAAAAAATTCCATGTGATCAAAATGACACCAGCTGTTATCTTAACACTAAATGACAGCTGCTAGATTAAAAAAAAGCTTTCAATTTCGGATTTAACAGTTGTATTTGGACAACAGTAAACATAGTGCAACTAAGGAAATTGATTCTTAAGTTTTTGAATTTACTTGTATAGATATTTTTGTCTTATGGGAAAAAAGTTAATATTCAAAGCAGTGGAGTTATTAAATGCTATTGCTTTCTTACTGACAGATGATAACACTTTAGTTGTTGCTTTATTTTCAGGTAGTTATTGCAAATTTTAAATGAGAGGAAGCCTTAGTAAGGAAAAGTTTCACAAAATATACAATTATATTTCATTAAGAAACTTTTTGATTATTGGGAATACTAAAAAAAAAAAAGTAGCATATCCTGCTTACAGAAGCAGATCTACCTGACTTGTTTGAGAGTTTCTACTGAAATGAAACATTTAAACTTATTACTTCTTCTACGTATTCTGTTTTCTTTAGTACTCGAGCCATTCAGTTTTAAGGTTTTAGTGTAGAAATAAGCATCCATCATAGATATCACCTGTCAACCATTCCAAAGCAATTGTCTGTAAATAATATGAAAACTTTAGTCAACAGAGAATTTAACTAGATCAACAAATATCAGATGAGTCTTTTAAAAATTCACTTACAGCATTTTGAGAAAAATACCTCTTAAGTTATCCCTAAAATAGACAAAAGTTGCTCTCAGCCTCTACTCAACTTGGTTTTATTAGAGCTATTAACCATATAAACAGTTTCTTAAACCCTGTGTACAACATATATTACAAAACAAGGGCATAAAGAATTGAACTAAGAGGAGTATAATTGTGCTAACTTTGTTTTGAGTTAAGTAGAGCATCACTTTTAACACAACAGAGTCTATTCTTTTCTTATAAAAGCAAACACTCCTAGGAAACAAACTCCTCATTACCCCCATCCCTAAGCCATTTCTAATAGTAGTTAGCTCTGAAGAGAAATTACACTTGGTTTAAGAAATTATTGTTTTCATGCTAACAAAAAAATTCATTAGGTGAAAATTTTTATTTCTATTATCAGTGAAATTGTAAAAAAAAAAAAAACTTCAAACTTTTGGGTGTCTCCTCCTACAACTCCCCCCCCATTTTTGTTTCATTTACTTAATCTGATGCTCAAGTTAATAATTAAATTATATAGTATAGTATCTGTTACCTTCAAGGCTTAGTCATTTGTTTCTTTGTAGTGAAGAGACCACAATATCTGGAACATCGCAGAATACAAATATTTGTGTTCCCTCTTTATATAGACATATCTTGTTTTCATCTTTTGCTACTACCTGTCCTAGTTTCATTTGCTTTTAAAGAACTGTTCCATAGTTTTCATATTGAAATTTAAATGTATTACTTAATGATATAATTGAAAACTTTTTTTTAGGAAAATTATAACCAGAAATTTAACAAAAATACCTACTAAGTCCTTGTAAAAGATTTTTGCTGTAGATTGACTATCTCCATCCTTTCAACAGCTCTTACCTTTTTAGCAGTATGGTAGGCTATTTCTCTACAACTTCTTATCAAAGGAGCTGATCTCTCTCTCCCCACCTCCCCAAGGCACACACAACATTACTATCTAAGCACTTTAAAGGATTGGAAATCCATATTTTTATGGTTTATAAGTATACTTGTATTTAATTATCATGAGACGTACACATCTGTAGAGACCTTAGCATCAGTTTTCCTGGTAGTATTACCTATATAGCATCACTATTCAGTGGTGGGGAAAATAAATATTTAAGAATTATCATCACTTTGTTCTATTTCTCTTACATAGTAGATTGAGCTGCATTGTAAACCTCTCCGAGGCAAGGTCCATGCTTTCTACCCTACTTTAAAAACTTCTTCCCTTGTGTGCTGTCTTATACTTGACATTCCTTAAATATTGCAAACATTTGGTAATGGATGGGGACCTGTGCCATTTTTCTCTTTATATCTCTTGCCTTCCTCTTCTTTAATCCTCTTGGTTTCCTCACTCCCACCCCACCCCTCCTTTTTGGACCAGCCCAGGGACAAAGCTTCTGGATCTTTGGCTCTGAGGGATGGTATAGAATCTTACCTACTCTCTACTAAAGTATACATTCTAAATCACATGAAAGTCTTGGTGGCCATTGGTTGTGTGCTTAGTTAAATAAATCTATAGTTATTTAACCACAGTATTTAAATAGTTACATTATCCTACATTTGATCCTTAAAATCATCCAGTGAGAGATGTAGTACAAGTGTAGTATTAGCACCATTTTCAGTTAGGGGAAATAAAGTTAGGGGGAAAGTGATTTGCCTAAGGTCTTGAATCAGTATCGAACCAGATTGGGTTACCTCCCGAAGGATTATGTTAGTTGACAAATATATTGCCCTTTAATGTTTGAAAAATCTTTTATATGTATTAAATAATTTGATCATCAAGACAAGCCTTCTCTGACCTCTGCCTCCTTCCTTCTCTCCTCACTCCATCCATAACCCAATAATAAGTTACCTTTACTGCTTTAAGGTTCGTAAAAGAAGGACTTTACATAAATTCTCATTTGATCCTCACACTAATTCCATCTCTCCTATCCTTGGCATTCTCTTTGGGTATTCTCAATGTCAAGAATGATCTTCCTCCTCCACTCTGACTACAGACCTCCCTGGCTTCTTTTAAGTCTCAATTAAAATCCCATCTTTTACAGGAAGCCTTTCCCAACATCTCTTAATTCCAGTGCCTTCCATTTGTTAATTATTTCCTATTAATCCTGTATACAGCTTTCTTTGTATATATTGACCTGCATGTTTCTCCAGGGTTAGATTGTAAGATCCTTGAGGGCAGGGACTGTCTTTTGCCTCTTTTAGTATTCCCACCGTGTAGCACCGGGTCTGGCACGCAGTAGGCGCTTAATAAATGTTTTTTGAATTGAAATGAACCAACTCTGTGAGGTAGGTGTTTATTGAACTGAATTCAACCAACCCTCTTAGGTAGGTGCCATTATCATTCCCGTTTTACAGATGAAGAAACCGAGTCCGAGAGAGGGTTACTCTACTAATAAGCATCTAAGTCAGGATTCGAATTGAGGTCTGTCCACCCAGCCACTTCAGCCTAGGTAGCTGAGACCCTAAATAACCTACATTAGGCCTGGCTCACCCTCTACCGGGTCTACTTGGCCTTAGGTTGGGGAGGAGAGTAGAACTAGGGAGCTGGAGACACGTACGGGAAGCTGACCTGCTCCCCCTCTCCCAATTTTGAGTGACAATTCTAAATTGCTTAAAAACAAAAAAGCCGAACCCAGGAGGTCTGGGTTCGAATCCTATTTCGGCTTCTAAACCAAAGTGTAATTTGGTTTATTTACTTTCTCTTCGCCACGTGTCAGAAGGGAGGGTAGGACTGGATGACCTTTGAGCTCCCTTCCAGATTTTTAAAGCCAGTGTTCTCACTGTGTCCTCTCGTGGAAGGAGGGAAACCAGACCCTTCCTTTTAGCGGAGCTGGTAGCAAAGGGTGGGGAGGGGGCGTCGCCAGCACCTGTGTGCTGCTGCTGCTGCTGCTGGTGCAGCCTTGGAGGCCCCTCCCGGGAGAGACTCCGATGGGATGAGATCCCTCTCTTTCCAGGCGCCCCTCCCTCACTCCCCACGGCCAGCCGTTCGAGACGGCGGTCCCTTTAAATGTTCCCCTCGCATCTCCTCCCCACCTCCCTCTGATTTGCTCGGCTCCCAGCGCCTAAGGGACCGTTCCTTGCTGAAATCTGTCCCACCGGAAACGGACCTCAAAACAAAGAACGTTCCGGAGAGCTGCGAGAGGTGGGGCGGGGCCATGCTGCTGCTACATTCTAGCCCCGCCCCCCACGCTTCTGATTGGGGGAAGCTCGCCTTGGCACGAGGTTCATCTGCGGGAGGCGTTTAATATGCCAAACTGCGTGCTTGCCTCTGCTTGTCTACCCTGCAGTGGTATTTCTTAGCCCCTCCAATGCTTACGGGATGTATTTTTCCATTCCTGCTGTCAGGACTAAAGAAGTGAACCGTTTAGAATTGGATCTCAAACCACTTTTATCGTCACGTTTATTCGTACTGTGTGCCAGGCATTATGCGAATTGTTGGGGATACACAGGCAAAGAAGCCTGTGCCTTCAAGGCGCTAATGCACTGTTTGGGGCGGGAGTGTAGCACCGCGTGGATAAACACTCAGGTTGATGATTACACAGGAGAAGGAAGGAAGGAAGGGGGGGTGCGGGGGGAGGGGTACGGGGTACGGGGACGGTGCATGACTGGAGGAAGACTGTCTCCTTTAGGCACACCTGACTTCATCTATGCCTTAATAAGAGAAGACTGGACTCAAGGCCTGCAGAGCTGGATTCTTGTCCCGGTTTTGTTAGTACCCAAGGGGATGATCTCTGGACAAAACAGTCTTCTTAGCTGCAGTTTCCTAATCTGCAATAATTGCTGGCATCTTCATAACCTTTTAAAGAATGCAAAAGGCTTTATGTGCATTATTTCATTGCATACTCAATTCAGATAAGTAGCTACTGATGTTTGTTCAGTCTTTTCAATCATGTCTGATTCTTCTTCATCCCATTTGTGATTTTCCTGACAAAGATACTGTATTGCCATTTCCTTTTCCAGCACATTTTTTTATTGCAGGTGAGGAAATTGAGGTAAACAGTTAAGTGACTTGCCCAGGGTCACACAACTGGTAAGAGTCTCAGGCAAGATTTGAATTTAGGTCTTCTTGAGGCCAGGCCTGGCACTAAATCAGATATATCACCTACCTGTCCTACTGATATTAACACCATTTTAAAATGAGGAAACTGAGGTTCACAGAACTTAAGCAATTTGTCCATGGTCACAAGGCTAGTATGTAAGTGGAAATGGAATTCCTGTCCAAGTCTTTATGAACTCCAAGTCCAATGTGCTTTCCAGTATCTCAGTAACTCTTTATCTTCACATACTATGTCAGAAACTTTTTATAAAAATAAATAACGTATGTGAAAACAATTTGCAAAGTCCTATACGGAAAAAACTGTTTGAAGCCTGAGGATATTTTAGGGGCTCAGGAATGACTTTTAGAGTATTTGGGGGAGGGAAGAGGAATTGGAAGAGATTTTTCCAGATACTAAGTAAATAAGAAAATAACTTTTTTTAAAATAAAATTTTATTGATATATTATGTCTTTATGTTCCCTGAATTTCTCCTTATACTTATTTTTTCCCTGTCTTAGCCATCCCATGATAAAGTAAATTATTTGCAGTGATAGGTACTGTGCTAAGTGCTGGAGATACACTTAAAGGCAAACAAAACAGTCCTTTCCCTGTTTCCTCAAGGGAGCTTGTATTGTTCAGGAAGACTACACATATAGGGGAGCGGGAAGGGGTGATGGTGGTGGCTGGAGATTGCCTGGAAGTGAAATGCAGTGGAGTTGAGGCTTAGAACTGAGCAAGTTAAGGTTAAAGCTGGTTTATTGAACACTAAGGTGTCCCTAAATGCAGAGTCCCATTCTCAGGTCCTGGAGGCAGTGGACATGGGGGCCAGAGTACAGTGCAGATTGCATGGCTGAAGGTGTCTGGGAGGTGATGATATAAAATTGACATTCATTTTAATGGACATTTTATCAGAATTAATTTTCTCCTTTCAAGGATATTCAACCGAATTAACATTTCCCAAGCACCTACAGTGAGACATTGCCATAGTTGCTAGGGATATAGAAATGAAAATAATAGTTTCTGTATGCAAGAAATTTATGGTATGAGATAGACATATATGAATGTGATAATGTAAAGGAGAAGTCTGGACAGAGTGCTACAGGAAATGCAATTGCCATATTTCTGTGGATGGCACTGCTATTTGCCCAGGCTCCAAATGCTGATGTCATCTCTTACACTTCTTTTACTTCACCTTCCTCCCGCCTCATGCCAAATCACTTGTTAATTCCTGTTGATTCTACTTTACACATCTTAATTCCCTTACCACACCTGAGTTCAGGGCCTCTTCTGGATTAGACTACTGTAATAGCTTTCGAAATGGTCTCTTTCTTCTCTAATCCATGCTTAGCACATAACTTCTAAAATAATTTCTCTGAAGCATAGATCTTCCCATGTCACTCTGCTGTTTAAAATCCTTTAGTGGCTTCCAATTGCCTTAAATACAAATTCCATAGCCTGGCATTTAAAACCTTTTACAGTCTGGGCTCTAACCTACCTTTCAAGCTTTATTTAACATTCTTTCCTTTCACACACTCTACATTCCAGCCAAATGTGATTACTCAGTTCCTGGAACCACTAGATCTTTCCAGCCTCCCTTCATTCTCACATCTGGTATCTACCATCCTGATAAAACATTCCCTCTTTATCTCAATGCCTGTCAAGACTCAACTCAGGTGCCATTTTGTCTGTGAAGCTTTCCCTCACCCTCACTTTCGTTTGAATGTGTTATTTTTCTCAAATATTCCTAGAATACTTTATCTAGATTTTTGTCCTGCCTTCATCACATTATACCTTCTATTATATATACATATACACACACACACACACACACATATATACATATACATACATACACACATGTATGTATATATGTCATTCCTGCTGCCCTTACCCCCTCAGTAGAATGTAAGTTCTTTTGGGATCAGTACCATATCATTTTTCATGTTAGAATCCCCAGTACCTAGCACATGCTTTGTGCTTAATAAATGTTTCAGTTGAAGGTGAGGTCTTTCAAATGTAGTTGAGATTAAGGAATATTATCCTGGTGCTCAGAGTTTTACATCTATTTTCCTATCTCTAAACATATCTCTAGAGGTCAGAGAAGTCTGATTTGTGGATGAAGGCTTATTGATTGTTTTGTTTTAAAGCTAAGTCTGCAGTTACCAGGATATCCTTGCATAAACAAATTAATCTTCTCTTTTCACAGTACTTTGGTGGATGATCCCTTCACCTGGACCTTGGAGAATCAGATGCTTTTTAATGGCTGCAGACGCTGCTGGGTGAGCAGCCTGAGACTTTACAACTCTCAACTCTTCAGGAGACCCAACATTCTCTCTCCATTACCTTCCACTGGGTCAGTGGTGTTGCTTTTTCCTCACTGCCCCCTTACAATAGAAGGGGAGATAAGATGCCACTTCCATTTGGGTTGAAACTGAAACGTACTCGTCGATACACAGTGTCCAGCAAGAGCTGTCTGGTTGCCCGAATCCAACTGCTAGACAATGAGTTTGTGGAGTTCACACTTTCTGTGGAGAGCACTGGTCAGGAAAGCCTGGAAGCTGTAGCCCAAAGACTAGAGCTTCGTGAGGTAGGCAAATAAGCCAATAGGGCTTCCCTCTTTACTGTTCTGTTTTTTGTTTTCGTATCCACAGCCTCTGGAATATAGTAGGTACTTAATAAATGCTTATCGAATGAGTTCTATTTTTTCCTAGCTACTTTAGGAAAAAAATTTTCATTTGATTGTGTGTGATATAATAGATGGGAATCTTTAGTGTCGAATGGCTAAGATGGGCTCTCTCAATTTATAATGCTCAAATTTGATTTGAGCTTTGGGTCATCATGGTTCTTTATTTCCTGATTATCTACTTTATGAATTGACTGTGGTGAACTTTTTATTTGTCTTAGTCAAGCTTAATTTAGGGTATTTTTGGCCAGCTCTCTCCCCAGGAATGAAAAGTATGTTAAACATAATCTAAAATGTAAATTTCCTATCTCCAAATGTACTCCAAAGTTAAATATGAATATCTTTTAGATTATTTAAGCCATGACTTTCATTCATAAGGAAGAGTTGGCTATATATGGTTGTAAACGTTATAATGCCATAGAGAGAGGGGTGGTTGGTAATCAGAATTATTTTCCTTATGATTATTATCATTGCAACTATGTCTGGGAAACAGTATTTAGTTATTTAGTACTACTTTGCAGCTGAGAGAAAAGTGAGGTTAAGTGATTTGACAGGATTCAAGTCCAGGACTCTTGACTCCAAGTCCAGTGCTCCTCCTTACTATATGTTGTCTTCTAGAATATAAGCCCTGTTCCATTTTTGTCTTTGTATCACTGGAATTTAACACATTGCCTTGGGTGAAGAAGTGAATTTATTACTTTTCATATTTTACTTCAGTTTTTTAAATAGTATTCCTGTCTGAATTTTTATTAATGTTGCAATTTATTATCAGGGAGGGGTAGGTAATGTGTCTTTAGGACCACTGACTGATTGATTCAATGATTGCTTTACTTTCTTATCATTCATTCGTTTTTCAGTCCTGTCTGACTCTCTGTGACCCCATTTTGGAGTTTTCTTGGCAAAAATACTGGAGTGATTTGCTTCTCCAGCGTCTTCTCCAGATCATTTTACAGATGAAAAAACTGAGGGCAGCAGGTTAAATTGACCGGCTCAGGGTCACATAGCTAGAAAGTCTGAGGCCAGATTTGAATTCAGGAAGATGAATCTTCCTGACTTCAGGTCCAGCACTCTATCCACTGTACCACCTGGCTGTCCTATTGCTCTGTTTATGCACCTGTCTTCATTTCTTTCTGACTTACATCTGCTCTCCCTCCTCCCCCTTTCTTCTTTGTCTCACCTGTGCCATAGATCTGCTGTACTCATTGACTTTGCTTAGTTGTCCTGGCTAAAGAGATTGCTTACCTCTGAATGATCTAAAAAATGAGGAAATTTTTCATCTGGTTTGTGATGAGACTGCCTTTTACTGGAATAGAAGGGTGCTTTGAAAATATGAAAGCATGGCATGTAGGAGGTCCTTTGTACTTGAAAAGAACAGTCCATTCGTCACTTTCACCTCTTTTTCAAGTGTTTAATAGTTTTCCATATAACTAGCATATTTCCTTCCAAACCAATAGAGATTCTGCCTTATATGTATAAAGAAATGTTTATAGGCCTATCCTTCCCTGACCTATCCAAATTATTTTACCCAGAAATAATCATCTCTACTCAAAACTCCTGCCAAGTAATCAATTCTGGAATATCCAATAAATGATAATGTATCATTTTCCCTTACTTAGCAAATTTAAAATTATTTATAGTTGTACATGTTTTTGTATTTACATGGATTTAGATGATAAAAATGTGTTACTGCTTAATCTCAAAATGGCACAAATCTGGTGCTTAACTCCTGTTTCCTTTGTGGTGATGGTCTTAAATAAATGCTCTGTATTAGCACTTAGAATTATGAAACTAGAAGAAACTGTAGAGATCATCCATTTCCTTCAACTGATGCTATATGGGCTGCCTTCTTCTGGACACTCTCCAGTTTATCAGTACCCTTCTTAAAATATGGCACCTAGGATTGGGCATAATTCTCATCATCCTCCCTTGAGAACCTGGACTTTGACTGATAATCTTTTGCCTTATCTTTCCAGACCTCTCCATCACTTTCTGGACATTTTCAATGTCAATTCCTCAATTATCCTTCTCTACCCCTTCTCCCACTAACAATCCTTTATGTAACCTTTTAGAATATAAGCTCCTTGTAAGCAGAGACAATCTTGCTGTCTTCTTTTTTGTATCCCCTGGGACTTATCACAGTGCCTGGTACATAGAAAATGTAAAATAGATGCTTCCCTCCTCCCCCCCTTCATTTCATTCATACTCACCTGGCTAATCTGGGCATATTAGAGTTGAACAGTACCTCTTTAGGCCTCCTTGTTATGCCAAAGATTCCATTAGTTTTCATGGCTGTTTTATCATCCTGGGAATCTACCATTCACTAAAACCTCCAGATCTTTTTTTTTTTTTTAAAGAAGCTGAACCTATCTGGCCATGCCTCCCCTTCTAATACCAGTGAAGCTAATTAAAAAAAACCAAACAAAACCAAAACCAGTATAAGTGAAGTACCTAATTTATCTTTATGTTTGTTAAGTTTCATATTATTAGATCTGGCCCAATGTTCTAAACTTGTCATTGAAATAAAAACTTTGAAAAATAAATGCTGGTCCAACATTTTGCAAGAAAGAATTAATCAAGAAATGACTGCTTCCCTTTTGCTGTGTCTGCCATTGGGCCTATAGTAGCTGCAGCCATGGCCATCCAATACCTCATGGCCATAGGCCTCAGCAAGGGCCAAAAAGTTACCAAAAACGTTTCCAAGACGAGACACTGCCGCCGCTATGGGCATTTGACCAAACACCAAGTTTGTGAGAGACGGGATCCGGGAGGTGTGTGGATTTGCCCCTTATGAGAGGCGGGCCATGGAATTGTTAAAGGTCTCCAAGCATAAGCAAGCCCTTAAGTTCATCAAAAAAAGGGTGGGAACTCACATCCCCGCCAAGAGGAAGAGAGAGGAACTCAGCAATGTCCTAGCTGCTATGAGGAAGGCTGCTGCCAAGAAAGACTAAGCTGGACCCTGCCAACCTTCCCCACTTACCCAATAAAGATTTGACAAATAGTCTTGTGTTTTGGACCCCCCCCCCCAAAAAAAGAAAGAAAGAAATGACTGCTTCCTCACAATAGGAAAGAAATGTCTTATTAAAGTAGTCAGAATGGTAAGATGCCACTTACTGCAACTTTTAATAGAAATTGAAGGTAAGACTTGTAAAATTAGTGGGCCTTGTTGTACTAGATACATAGAATTATTATGTATCTAGTTGACAATTATAGGAATTCATAAACTTAGAGGTATTTCAAAATGAAGTCATATATTATGGACTCATTTGGGTTTAGTGCTGGTTTGCAAAACTTAATCAGCTTTGATAAGATTTTTTTATTCAATGGAAACTGAAGGTACTGTGTGGCCTTTTTAATGTTTTCCAGTCATTTCTATTCCTTTTTTGCTTTTTTTTCTGTCTCATTCTCTCTCAGCAACTCACAATGCACATGTTCTATTTGTTTCTACTCAAAATTTTCCATTTATTTTATTTCACAAGATTGTACATGTAATTAAACCCTTATGTTGTTTACTTTAAAAAAATGCTTTATATAAAGTTGTACACAGTTGTACTACACATTTAACGTGAATTTTTTTGTAGTTTTAATGTACTTACATAATTGTAATTAGTATGTATATTTTGGTCTCCTCCCGCACTCTGCTTTACATCTTCTAAGCCTGTCCATAGTTCTTTCTGTTCAGAGTGGCAAGCTGTGGTAGAAAAAATGCTAGACTTGGAGTGAGAGGCCTGGTTTTAATCCTTCCTCAGACACTTGACGTTGTATATATCCTTCAGTTTCTCAGAGCCCAAGTATCCCCATCTGTAAATTGGGAATTATACTCTCACTGCCTGCCTTGCAAGGTTATTATGTAGAAAATGCTTAGGGAACCCGAAAGTACTATATAGAAATGATTGTTAATATTTATTTGTCTCAATAATTCATTTACATGCCATAATTTATTCAGCCATTACTATCCTCCTTATTTTGGAACACGTTTGTTTTTAGTTTTTTTCTTCTTTCTTATTGCCATATTATTCTCTATAGCTAACATTTCTAAGATTATGCCAAATTAAGGGTGATGAGAATAGATATTCCTGTTTTATACCTTTGTTAAATGAGAATGTTTCTGTTGCTTATAGTTTGTAGATAATATTAAATTGAAGTTTTGAATAGTCTTTTTTTATCATATTAAGGAAAAGATCCTTCTATTTTCATATTTGAAAAACTTTAAAAAATACTTTTTTGTCGAAGTTTTTCTTCTAATGCAGCGATCACTTTTCCAGTTAAAAATACTACTTGGTCAGGTTGGGTGACTTTTGTTGTTATAGATGTATTGCTGTGCTCTATTTACAAGTTTTAAAAAATGTTTTCATATTAATGATATTGGTGTTCACTTTTCTCTCTTAGCCTGGTCTTTTTTTTTTTTTTTTTTTTTGGTTTAGCAATGAAAACTATATTTATCTCTAAGAAGAAACTAGGTATCTTACCATTTTTCTTTGTTTTATAAATATATAGCATAGGAGTTACTTGTTTTTTAAAAGTTTGGTTGAAAAGATTTTCTTCTGTATTCTTCTGTATCTCTCCCTTCTCCCCTTTTAATGGTGAATCTGATTTTTTACTTCTATCATTGGTTCATTTAGGTTATCTACTAGTTACATTGTTGATTTAAATATTTTATATTTTGTAGATAAATTTGAAAATCTAAGTGAAATGGATGCATATTAACATAGAGCTATCTAAAGTAATTGCTGATAATTTTCTTGATTTCTTTTACTTTTGTGATTTCTCCTTTGTTATTTCTAATTTTAGTGACTTGGGTTTGTTCTCCTTTTCTGATTAGATTTCTTGATCATCAGGTTTTTTTCTAGTCCTTAAAAAAAATGCAGTCCTTGGAATTTCAGTTGTTTTCTGTCTTATTCACATGG